TGTAAAATTGTATCCTTGCTAAAGGAAACAGAACAATAAAGTCATATATTAAAATTTTTATTTAGAGAGATAGACCAGGTTTTGCTCTGTTGCCCAGGCTGAAGTGCAATAGCCTTGGTATGGCTCACCACAGCCTCAAACTCCTTGGCTCAGGTGATCCTTCTGCCTCAGCCTCCCAAGTAGCTGAGATTACAGCTGCCTGCCACCGCACCTGGTTATTTTTTTTTTTTAAGGTTGGGGGGTGATGGTAGTGGTCTCACTATATTGCCCAGGCTAGTCTTGAACTCCTGGCCTCAATCGATCCTCTCCCTCAGCCTCCCAAAGTGTTGGAATTACAGACATGAGCCTCCCCACCTGGCTCATTAAAATATTTAACGGAGAAGCTGGCAGTTGACAAAAATAATTCCGTTGTTATCAAGGATCTCCATCTGTTTCTCAACAGAAGTGATATGTGATCTTCTGCAAGTCATTTCTCTCCCTATGCATCGGCTTTACACAAAAATAATCTCTACAATATGAGATTACACTTTCTTTTTTTTTTTTTTTGAGACACAGTTTCGCTGTTGTTTCCCAGGCTGGAGTGTAGTGGCATGATCTCAGCTCACCGCAGCCTCCATCTCCCGGGTTCAAGCGATTCTCCTGCCTTAGCCTCCCAAGTAGCTGGGATTACAGGCGCCTGCCACCACACCCAGCTAATTTTTTGTATTTTTTTAGTAGAGACAGGGTTTTCTCATGTTGGCCAGCCTGGTCTCGAACTCCCAACCTCACATGATCCACCCGCCTTGACCTCCCAAAGTACTGCGATTATAGGCGTGAGCCACCATGCCCAGCCTAGACTTGATTTCTAAGGTTTCTTCCTGTTTAAAGACTGATTTAACAGAGTTTGTGTTTTTTTGTTTGTTTCTTTGTTTTTGCCTCTCTCTGATTTCACTCAAGGCCTAGGAGCAGAAAATCTCCTAGTGGTGTAGAGATGCAGAATGTCCCATTTACAGGATTAATTTTGTTTCTCCCTCAGGCAAAAACCAAATCTTCAGGAGCTGTTTCCAGCTAAACCCTCATCCCAGGAAATATACTGATTTAAAGTAGAGGCTCTGTAATCCCAGCATTTTGGGAGGCCAAGGCAGGCATCTCACTTGAAGCCAGGAGTTAGAGACTAGCCTGGCTAACATGGTGAAACCCCATCTCTATTAAAAAAGCGAAAATCATCCTCTGGTTTCTCTTTTTTTTTTTTTTTTTTTTTTTTGAGACAGAGTTTCGCTCTTGTTACTCAGGCTGGAGTACAATGGCGCGATCTCAGCTCACTGCAACCTCCGCCCCCTGGGTTCAGGCAATTCTCCTGCCTCAACCTCCTGAGTAGCTGAGATTACAGGCACGCACCACCGCGCCCAGCTAATGTTTTTTGTATTTTTAGTAGAGACAGGGTTTCACCATGTTGACCAGGATGGTCTCGATCTCTTGACCTCCTGATCCACCCGCCTCAGCCTCCCAAAGAGCTGGGATTACAGGCTTGAGCCACCACACCCGGCTTCCTCTGGTTTCTCTTCATAACGAATAAGTCTTTCACCTTTTACTAAAGATTTCCATGGAGAGGAACAATTATGAGTTTATAACCAAATTTTTTTATGTCCTGCTTAGGCAGGGCTAAGTAAAAAAAGAAAAAGAAAAAGAAAAAATACAAAACGTAGCTGGACGTGGTGGCACGTGCCTGCAGTCCCAGCTATTCCAGAGGGTGAGACAGGAGAATCACTTGAACCGGGGAGGCAGAAGTTGCAGTGAGTGAAGATCGTACCACTGCACTCCAGCCTGGGCAATAGAGAACCTGTCTCAAAAAGAAAAAAAAATTAAAGTAGAAGCTTTATTCAAATATGTGAAAAGATACTCAGCCACATTCAGAAAGGATTGAATACAAATTTAACATATAAGGAAATATCTTTTTTTTTTTTTTTTTTGAGACAGAATCTCATTCTGTCATCCAGGCTGGTGTAATCTTGGCTCACTGCAACCTCTGCCTCCTGAGTTCAAGTAATTCTTGGTTCTTAGCCTCCCAGTTAGCTGGGATTACAGGGTCTAACCACCATGCCTGGCTAATTTTTGTGTTTTTAGTAGAGATGGGTTTTCACTATGTTGGCCAGGCTGGTCTCGAACTCCTGACTTCAGGTGATCCACCCACCTTGGCCTGCCAAAGTGCTGGGATTATAGGCATGAGCCACTGTGCCTAGCCCTAAATACCATTCTTCACTAGCAGATGGGTAAAGATTTGGTGATACAGGTATACTGTGTTTGCAGGGCAAACCAAATTGGCACAATTGCACATTTGTTGCACCCTCTGCAGAGTAAGCTGGCAACACGAGTCACAAAAGTGTAAGTGCATATGCCCCTTGACGCAGGAGTTCCTCTCTTTGGAAATCCCAGATGCAAACATCTTTGTGCAGATGGGCGAGCCTACGTGTAGGATGAATTCTTGTGGCATGCCTGTAGAAGCAAACAACTGGCATCACCCTCTATGCCCATCAGTATATTAAAGTCCTGTATGTTGGACTCAAATGGGTTACTGTGTCTGCAACTGTAAAAATGAGACCGTTTTTCATGAATCGATCTGAACAGTCCTCAAGGTCTGTTGAGTCTGTTGTATAGAACTGTGGATTTATGTAAAAAAGAATAGTTGTGGATTATATATGTTTTATATATGTTCCTATGTGCACAGACTCTCAAAAATATACAATGTGAACAGAATCAGAAAAAATATACAAGAAATCGGACTGTAACTTATTCAATTATTTATTTATTAATTTTTTTTTTTTTTGAGATGGAGTTTCGCTCTTGTTTCCCAAGCTGGAGTGCACTAGTGCGATCTCTGCTCACTGCAACCTCTACCTCCTGGGTTCAAGAAGCGAGTCTCCTGCCTCAGTCTCCCAAGTAGCTGGGATTACAGGTGCCCGCCACCACGCCGGTTAACTTTTTTGTGTTTTTAGTACAGAAAGGCTTTCACCATGTTGGCCAGGCTGGTCTCGAACTCCTGACTTCAGGTGATCCACGAGCCTTCGGCCTCCCAGTTTGAATTGCGTTTCCATCACTTATAATTGAAAGAATCCTGGGAAATACAGCTTCTGGGTCCAGATGCACATTTCCACCATATTTCTTTGATATACCAGTTTATATAATTCACAGCAAGAAATAAGGTTAGTGTGACTTGGTCTTTGTCTCTGGTGTTTCCTCTTTGGAGAGGTCACAAATTTTTTTTTTGTTAAGTCATCTGTCCTGAAGATTTTCCAGGCCCAATGTCAAGTTCACTGATCTGTGGTTTGCAGAACTCACTCTCTTCCTCTTTTAAAAAATGGTCATGTCATCTACCTCTCTCTAACCTTCTGAAAAGGTCAGAAAACCTTCTACGCGGTCAGGAGAGGGTCTGCATGATATTCCCTTAAAACAGAATCTGACTCTAAATGAGTCACCTTTTTTCAATTCTCCCGAACAGCTGGTAATGCAAGGACAGGTCAGGATGGCACAAGTCGGTGCCTTATGCTAGGTTTACTTGCTGATTCAGGGGAGGAATTCCTTCAGCCGCAGCATCCATCCTCCTCCATTCCCATGAATTCTGCAAGATGGCACTTGCATCCTGCTGAACTAAGGGCAGAACCCTGCAGAGACCAAAAGCATACCCACTTGTCTGTAGCATCGACACAAGGTTTCCAAACTGGAAACACTCTGAGTTCCAGCTTCACATGCATGGTGGCCACACCCAGTTGGTCAAGCAAATCTGGAATGAACCAGAAGGAGCTATGGCGCTGAAGGCTCCATAACCCTCATGGTACTGCAGCTCCCAGCTGTCTTCTTCATGTGTTCCCTTCAACTTTCCCAAGGAGTCTACAGTTCAAGTCTCCATCTTTCAAAGGACTATCACTTCTGCTTGGGGCATGGGACAGATACTTCATCATCAATCCATACATATCATGTAAGTGGTAGAACTTGTTTCTCCTGCATAACTCCCGTAACTTCAGAAAGCCCACCGTTTTCTAAAATTGACATTCAGCCCTATTTCAGATATCACTGCATTTCTTTAGAGAGAGGGCTTCATCATTTCATTTAAGGAGCTACCAGAAGGAGCATTACAGCATTGGAATGTCGTTGTACAAATGTCTCCAGAAAATTTGGGGTGTCAGAGTCAACACTCCAGAACCAGATTCTCTACTTTGGTAGGTGCTGGAGTCGAGTCTGTCATAATCCCCAAATTACAGGGATGGGCTGGCAGTTTGTTTCTATACTTCTCTACAACGAAAAAGGCGTCCAAATGCAGCACTTGTACTTAAAAAACTTTTTTTTTCTTTTAGTTGAAGAGACAGAAGAAGCTGAATGGCCTGAACGTTGTATTTACTGTATTTGCTGAAAAAATGCAGACTGGCCTAGAATTTATGGAGCAGCTGAGATGGAATCTACCAGTCTCGAAGACGCCCCGTTTTAAAAAGTAAATTGGCCTCCAATTGCTCTTCCATAACCTGCATCCTCGCCAGACTTTTTTCTTTTTTAAATCTCTTTTTAAATTTTTTATTTTTATTATTATTCTTTTTAGCTCCAGCTCAAAGCCTCGCTGGACTAATTTTAAAGTTATGTTGGTTAATGTCATGCCTTCACTGGAACTAGGGGATAGGGAGGGCAAGTGACACGCTTGTTTTAAAGGTAGGGAAACCCGGGGACGGAAAGCAGCTAGAATCAGACGGTGTTTCCTACCTCCCTGCTGGCGCTTCCCTTACCCGCAACAAAATCACGGAATAACTCACTCACCTGTGAGCACGGGGCCTGCCCCACCCACTCTTCCAAGACCCGGACAACAGCCAGCCTCTAGGCGAGCCAGCAAGGACGATCCCGGAGTCCCCGAGCGCGCTCCCATGGGGCGGGGCAGCCCTCGGGCCGCGCAGGCTCCGCCCCTTCACGTGACGCCCCCCGCGGGCTGCCCCCCCCCGCGAGGAGGGCAGGGCTTGTCTCGCGCCTGCGCAGAAGGGACTGGAGGCGGGCGCGTGCGGCTGACTGACAGCCCACGCCGCGGCGCCAGGAAAGGACCCGGCTGCTCGCGGGCGGCGCAGTCGCCGCAGCCTCGGAGTCCGACGGCACCGGTTCGCTGCCCGGTCCGCCCGCGGTGAGAGGGGCGGTGGGGCGGCCTCAGGCTGGCCTGACAGGCTCGTGAGAGGAAGGATGACTCGGGAGGGATGACGGAGACCCGGGGCGGGGGTCTGCGAGGGGTGACAGCTGGGAGCGCCGTGGGGCGGGGGGCGCGGGGAGGGAGGAGGGGTTCGCGGGGCGTCGGGGGCGGGGCCTCGCGGGCCTGGGGCTCGGATCCGGGGGTCTCCGCTGGCTCCTCGCCTGCTGGGACGCAAAGGGAGAAGGGTAAGGGCGCCGGGAGCCCACGGGCGGAGAGGCAGTTCGGACGTCTGGGAATGAGCGCAGCCCGGGCCGCCGCCTGGAGGAGGCGCCCCCAGCCCCGGGGCAGATGGTGGCCGCAGTTGGCTTTGGGATGGAGCTGGTGTCCCAGTCTTGGGGAAAGAAGAAACCCAGGACTCCTGCAAGGGCAAGCTGGGGAGGGGGTGCAGGGACCCAGGGGAGAAAGACATTGGGGAGTCATGCGTGTGTGCGGGGTGTGAAGTTGCTGCCTCACTGCTCCTGGGGCTGGCTGGGGGGGGGGAGGTGACAGAAAGGGGCTTCCTGGCCCGGGTGACCTCCCCTGTCCATTCTGCCTCTTCCCTCTCCTCTTGATGGGACAGTAAGCAAAGGGGAGGATAGCAGTGAGAATGTGGTTTTAGCAGTTCAGTTTAGGACAGCTGGCTGAGGTGGCATTGAGCCCGTTTCCAGGATCTTGGAAAGGACAGAATTGAGTGTTCTGGAGCTGGGTGCGTGCCCTCCCACCCTTCCCACCGCTGTCCTTGGTTTGTGCTTCCCTGGGTTGCAGGTTGATTAGACTTCGGAAGATGAAAAGGGGAAGAGGAGAAAAAGACTTTGCAGGGACACTGGCCAGCTCCTCTTCCTCTCTAGGTAAGGGCCAGGCATGAGTCCCAGCCTGCAGATTGAGCAGGAACTCACTTCTGAGCTGGCACAGGTGAGGCGCCCCTGACGTGGAGGTAGTGTGGCTGTGGTGAGTCAGTGTTAGAGGCAGGCTGACAGCTGTCAGGGCCGAGGCTGCTTTAGCCAGGCTGCGACTTGATGTTGATGTTTCAGATTGATTTCCTTAAAAGCTGCCCCCACCCTCAACCTAAAAGCAGGGCAGAGAAATGCTTAACACTCTATGGTGCAAAGGAAAAAGGTTTGGATTATATTGCATTTGAGCATTCCTTCCTGTTTCCCCCCACTTCTCCTGGGAAGGATATGTTCTCCATTGTTCAGTGTCTCTCTTTGGCTGTCACTTGTTTTTATTTCCACTTTGTTCGGAAATAGGACTGCTTATGCCTTTGAAGCACAGGACGAAAGGCTATTGAGATTGGTTTGCAATGAAAAAGTTGACTCATGAGATTTTCTTTTTCCACTAAAGAGATGAAGATGGCGTGGGACTGACATGTAGGCAGCCTTAGCGATCAGATCATCACTAGCCTCTGTTACGTTCTGACGTTTCTGGCTGTGTTTGCCATTTGTATGGGATGTGTCAGTTAGTGTGAAGGTTGGTTTGCATTATTTGAGATGTAACAGCCAAAGGCAGTGAGAAGCCACTTGGTGACTGAGTAAATCACAAGCCTTAAATCATTTGCTGCAGAACCTCAGAAAGTGGAGGATCTCCGCAGATATTAGATGTGGTTCTCTTTTCACGACAATAACATCTTCAAAAGTGAATTGCTTTATAGTAGCCCTGGTGGCTGTGAGGAGCATGTTTTAGGACAGTCTCCAGGAAGGGTTTGGGGTGGGATGAGTCATGCTGCCTGCCTCTCTCTCCTCCCACCTCCTCTCTCCTTTCTCTCATAAAGCAAAAGTAATCAGGTTAAAAGAAACACCAAAAGCAGCCTGGGGCAATTTTTTAAAAAAAGTCAGAAGTCAGCCAACATCAGGAGAGACATGGAAAGCAGGAGTAAAAGCTGTATTGCCCACGGTCACCCTCACTTTCATACCTTGCAGGGGCTTTCCGTCGCAGACTCTTGGTTGATCTTCATTATAAGCTTGGTAATGATGGGTGTGTTATCGTTCCCATGTCACAGATGAGGAAACTGAGGCTGAGTGACTTGCCCAGGGTCGCTTAGCTACTGGGGACACAGTGAAATGTTTAACGCAGCCGTCTGATGCTGGATATAGCAGCCCTTGCCACCCTGCGGAATGGAAGGTGGGGTGGGTCCAGGTGGGTGGTGCCTCACACCAGGGGTCCTGGGGCTTTCCTAGAGGCTTGCAAAACATCCTTCTCTTCCACCACCTGTCCGGCTTACCGAGTCGGCTGCGCCACTCCTGCCCCTGCCCCGAGCTTGAGGTGGTCTGCATGGACTCAGATTTATTTAGAGGTCCTTGAGAAATCTAGTAGGAAGTGTGATTGCTAAGAGTGTCTTTTGCTTAAGTGCTCTGTGTTTCCAAACAGCCTAGGTGTCTTCAGCTGTGTGAGGCAAGAGAGCGTGAAGCCTGCTACAATCATTTTTCTTGTCCTCCACCCAAAGAGAAATGCAGTGGTTGTGAAACCAAGCGGGCTGGCCCAGTAACTTTGTTTATTCTAAACCATTTTTTCTATGTGGCATCGTATGGGTCATGGTGACACTTAAAAATAAGCCATAGAGCCAGCGTGGTGGCTCTTACCTACCTGTAATCCCAGCAGTTTGGGAGGCTGAGGCAGGTGGATCACCTGAGGTCAGGAGTTTGAGACCAGCTTGGGCAACATGATGAAACCCCGTCTCTACTAAAAATATAAAAATTAGCTGGGCACGGTGGCACACACCTGTAATCCCAGCTACTTGGGAGGCTGAGGCAGGAGAATCACTTGAACTCGGGAGGCAGAGGTTGCAGTGAGCCAAGACCACATCACTGCACTCCAGCCTGGGTGACAAAGACTCCCATCTCAAAAAAAAAAAAAAAAAAAGGCATAGCTGTTCTCATGAGGAAAGGACAAGTTTCAATCCCACTTTCTAAAAATCAGGGCATCAAAAACAGAACTTCAGGGGAAGGTTGGCCAATAGATGTTTTGGCACATTAGTGGTAGGAAACAGTGGAAAGCCGCGGTAATCCCGGCACAGGAACCAGAAGTGTAGGTCTGGATGCAGCAGGTGATAGTTCCCAGCCACTCCACGCTTAGAATGTTGTGTTCTTTTCTGGACGTCACATGTCATGCAGGGTGTAGAAGAAAAGAAACCGCCACAGTGGTGAATGAAGGAGATGTAGTAAGCCCAGAGAAGCTTGGGAACTGTGATTTATTAAACTCACTCTGTAGAGCCCCAAGCTTCCAGGAACCAAAGGACAAAAGTAATAGACAGACTTGGCCTTGGCCAGGCGTGGTGGCTGTACCTGGAATACCAGCACTTTGTGGGGGCCAAGGGGGGCGGATTGCTTGAGCCCAGGAGTTCAAGATCAGCCTGGGCAACATGGCAAAACCCTGTCTCTGCCAAAAATAAGACAAAAATTAGCCAGGCATTGATGGTGCAAACCTGTAATGCCAACTACTAGGGAGGCTGAGCTGGGAGGATCACTTGAGCCCTGGAGGTGGAGGTTGCCATGAACTGAGATTATACCGCTGCACCCCAGACTTTAGTTTTAAGAACTTGATCATGCCAGGGTGATCGTTTGGAAACTCTTGAGTTAACCATGTCTCTCCCCAGCAGCATCCCAGGACCTTCGTCAATCAGGCTGACTGTGTAGGTGCTGACTGACCCTGCCTGTTTCTCCAGCCTCATTGATTGCCACTGTCATTCACGAAGCTTCCACCTCTTTCCTGGGCCTTGAGTACCAAGATGACTCTGCCTCAGGGCCTTTGCACGGGCTGTTCCTCCCATTTCCATGGCCAGCTTCCTGCCGTAATAGTATATCCCTAGTGAGACCTTCCCTAATAGTCAGAATAATGTTCCTTTTTCTTCTGGTCTTGCCCACTCACTCTGTCATATTACAGCGTTGTATTTTCTTTATAACTGTCAGAAATGACCTTGTTTATTGGAGAGTGCTTTTACTAGAGACGGTCTAACCTAGCCTGGCTAGCAGACCACTGGGCAAGAGAACCCAGGCACTGCGCAGGTAGTAAAGCCAGGTTTCATTCCTCTCAGGACTCCTCTAACCAAAAACCACAAACTGGGGGCTTAAAGCAACCGAAATTTATTCTTAAAGTTCTGGAGACCAGAAGTCCAGAATTAAGGTGTCAACGGGATTGGTTCCTTCTTGGGGATTCAGAGGGAGACTCTGTGCCTGGCTTTCAGCTTCTGCTGGTGGCCAATGACCTGTGATATCCCCTCACTGGCAGCTGCGTCACCCCAGGCTCTGCCCCTGTGATCACATGGCCTCCTTGTCCCTGTGTGTCTGTTTCCACTTCATGTCTTCTCCTGTGGGGCTGTGTCTCTTCTCCTCCAGTCGGATTGGACTTAGGGTCTACCCAACTCCATTATGACCTTCGCTTTTGTTCAGACAGAGTCTCTGTTGCCCAGGCTGGAGTGCAGGGCATGATCTCAGCTCACTGCAACCACCGCCTCCCAAGTTTAAGTGATTCTCGTGCCTCAGCCTCCCATGTAGCTGGAATTACAGGCACATGCCACCACACCTGGCTAGTTTTTGCATTTTTGGCAGAGACGGGGTTTCGCCATGTTGGCCTGGCTGGTCTCGAACTCCTGACCTCAAGTAATCCTCCTGCCTCGGTCTCCCAAAGTGCTGGGATGACCTCCTGTTAACTAATTACATCCACAGAGACCCTATTTCCAGTGAAGTTCACAGGGTCCCTGGGTTAGGACCTCAACATATCTTTTGGTGCCTGGAGGTTGAGAGTATGCCTAAATTCAGTCTTTTGGGGCAGGGGGCACCTAAATTCAATCTATAATGCCTTGCAGCTTCAAGGTGCAGTGACGTTTTGAAGGGAAAAATTAGCGGGAGGTGGCTATTTTTAGGGATAAGGACAGGGATGTGAGTGTTTTCATGAGAAGCCTTCATGATCCTTACGATTTGATTTTGCGAGGCAAATGCTGACTAGTGTACTTCACGGTGAAGAGG